AAATTTAAGGAAAAAATGTTTTTTTTTAAAAAAAAAAAAAGAGGTTTTGGAAAAAAAAAAAAAAAAAAAAAAAAAAAAAGACAAAAAATTATTCTTTTTTATTATAACATATATATAATATATATATATATATATATATTTTTTTTTTTTCATACAGAAACTCAAACATACTATAAACAAAGTACAACCCTAAATATAAATGGGCTTGGATATATGAAAAATCTCATAGAAAATGTAAAAGAAAAAAAAATAGGAAAACATATTTCTTTATATATTCTATAATATTTTATTATGTTTTATATTATATTTTTATTTTATTTTATTTTTTTTTTTTTCTTAGACTATAATAAACACAATTAAAGAAAAAAGTAAACAAGGAATTCATATAATGAATGATACAATTAAAAAGACGATTAATGATAATATAAATATTAATAATAATAATATATACATTGATAATCTAGAAAAAGAGAAAAAATAATAAATATTTATTTTCTTGTTTTCGTTTAATTTTCCTTAAATATTGTATATATTCTTTTAATAATTAAACATAAAAAAAAAAAAAAAAAAAATTTGTTAATTATTTTAGGATTTAACTTTTTTTTTTTTTTTTTTTTAAAATGTCAAATAATAACCAATTTTGTTATTTGCTATAGTAATTTTAAATTTGTATTTAATTTATATACACATTTGTTTATTATACATTTTTTATTTTATTTTTTTTACGTAACTTTTTTTTTTTTTTTTTTTTAAGTTTTTTATTAATCTATGTGATTTTTTGAATTAATTTTTCTATATTACAATGTTATTATTTATATAATAAAACTAAATTACTCAATTAAAAATAACATAGAAGAAGAAAAAAATTTATTAAAAGTTAAAACACACAATATTATTAGTAACATCATATATTTTTCATTTTTTCATGAAAATCCTTAAGACAATATAAATCACATATAAAGTTTTTTAATTGCACTTCATTAAGTTCTGAAAATTGTAAATTAGAAAAATTTTTGTTATAATAATTTTTAAAGTCTATAAATATTTTATAAAACTTTTCTTTCACTTCTAAAAATTTATTTTTTTTTTCAACAGCTGAAAAATTTGTGATATTACTCAAATGTTTTTTAATAAATGAAGGAAAGTTATCAAATATTTCCTTTTTTGTAAATCGAAAATCAAGAAAAAAAAAAGAAGAAAAATCGTTAATATGTCGTAAACTTCTTCCTATACATTGGTTGATTATTTTCATAGCATATTTTAATTGATAAGTATTACACATTTTATTTATATCTTCATCTAAAAAAAAAGTAAAAAAATAAAAAAGAAAATATTAATTAAAAATTTATTTAATAAATTTTAAAAAAATGTATTTTACACATTAATATGGATTTCCTATGTGGATTTTTGACAGAACTCTTTTCATCATTAATTACTTCTGTAGAATACGTTTTATAGTAATTTAAAATAAGGGAATTTTTATCTAACATGAATTTATTAGATTCATTTGGTTTTTCATATTTAAAAAAAGGGATACCTACAATTAAAATGTTTCTACAAAATTCATTATAAAAATTTATTCCTTCACTCAATTTTGCATTCATAACACAAAACAAAATACATCCATTTTTAATTCTCATTTTTTCATCTTGTTTTTTTATCATTACAATATGATCTATATAATCTTTTAAAATATCATTATTATTTTTTTTTTCAAAGAAAACATATTTTTTTTTCTTCATTTCATTTAATACATAATTTCCTTCTTTATTTAAAAAACACATAAAGATATTTAAAAAATTATAAGAAGGAAAAAAAATAATATTGCCATAATTTACATATAAGGTTAATATATATATTTGTATTGATAAATTTAATAAATGTTTTTTATCAAATCGGTTTTTATATGTATTATCAATACATTCATACGTAATTAAATTGGTACTTATTATTCTTGAAAAAATATTTTCTTCATTAAAAATATAATCAGAAGAATATATTTTTATTTTATTTTTTTTTTCATTTAGAAATAATAACAAAAACTCTTCTATTGGATATAATGTTCCTCCAATTAGAATTACATTACTACAGTTTTTAGTTATAAGTTGAAAATTATTACACGAACTAACACTTATTATTTCTATTTTTCTAAATAAATCTTTTTTCTTAATTACAAATAACTCTTCAAAAAATTTTTTAAAATTGTCAAGCTGTTCATCTTTTAAAAGTATTTCTTCTTTTTCATTATTATCATTATTTCTTTCATTCTTTTTTTTTTTTTTTGCATCCGTTTCATACATTTCATTTAATTTACTTCTTTTTTTATTATCTACTACTTCCACTTCATGTATTTTAATATCCTTATTTTCTGATGTTGTATTTTTTTTTAAATGTTCATTTCTGCTTATCATATCATTGTATTCAATATTATCATCATTATTATTTAAATATATATAGTCATATTTGTTTGATTTAATTAATTTATTTGTAAATTCACTTAATAAATAAATGGAAGATGTTTTAATAATGCTATCATTTGCATAATTTTTGTAATTTCTGTTCATATATGTTTCTGCGAAAATTTTAATTTTTCTACAAAATAGAGAGTTGTTTAAAAAATTTAAAATGTTATTTAAGTTTAATGCATCCAATTTAGATAAAACAGTAAATTTATTTATATTCATTACATTTTCATCAACTAATTTGAATGAATCTAAAAGTAAATCGCAATAAATGATAATTTGTTTAATCATAATAATATTATTATTAGTTAACACATTCTTATATTTTTGAATATATTCCTTTAAAATTAATTTACAAAAAAGAATCTGATGATTTTCAATATATGTAGAATTACAATTATTTATATTTTCTATAATATTCTGAGATTCATCAAAAATAACAATGTTATTTTTTATATTTATTTTTAAATTATTTCTAATGTTTTCATTTAATATACAAATATATGGTAATAAAACGATATCGGCGTTTTTTATATTTTCTTTACATAAATAATAAGGGCATATTTCTATTTTTTCATTTCTACATATATCTTTTATTTCATTCATATTTACATTTTTTGTATTTATTAATTTTGTCACTAAATTATAATTATTTATTTTATTGTTGTCTTCACATTCTGTATTATCACTGCTTGATGAAGAATTATAGAAAATTTTTTTTTTTTTTTTTTTTTTTTTATTTATTTGTATCATTTTCTCATTAAAAATTTCTTTATATTTACAATAACTACTTTTACAACAATCATTTAATTCGTTTACACTTTTATATCTTCTTAAGAAATTCTAAAAAAAAAAAAAAAAGTTTAAAAAAGTATTTATTTAAATATTCATATATGCGTATTGATTAGATTTATTTTTGTTATATTATTATATTTTAATTATTACAGTATATTTTTTCTTATTTTTTTATTTACTTCATTTATACATAAATGTTTTCTACTGCCAATTATAATCATATTTACAAAAATTTCATTTTTTATTTTCTTTTCAATTTTTTTTAATTCATGAAAATATTGATTTAATTGTGATTGTGTTCTACTGCAGATAAAAATCTAAAAATAAAAAACATATAATTAACTAGTTATAAGAAACAATTCAAATTATACTATAAAGCATTCTATATAATGTTCTCCATTAAAACAAAATTTATTTTTTTCACCTGTTTTTTATTCATTTCTTCAATATAGCAATCACTCAAGATATCTTCATCTAAAAAAAAAAAAAAAAAAAAGCAAAAAAAATTATCTTTTTTCTAGAATTAAAAATAAAAATTAGAATTTAGTTCAAATTATAACTGACATAATATATATTATTTTTAATTTTTTTCTTTATATATACTTTTGTCTTCTAATAGAAAGTTTTCACTGAATTCACTTTTTTCTAACTGAACTTTTTTCTTTTCTATAACTATATTTTCATGTAAATTTATCTTATCATCAGTAAAGGAAAAATATTTATTTAGAATACTTTTGTCTATTTCTTTTTTTTTATTTTCATTTTCTAAAATATATTTATACTTTTCTATTATCTTTTCTATTACACTTTCTTTTATCCATTCTGGTTCTGTGCAATCAGAAAAAATAAATAATGTAAAAAAAAAAAAAAAATTAAGATTAAATATATGAAAACTAACAAAATTTGAAAAAAATAATTTTTTTTTTTTTTTTTTGCACCATTTTTTTTTATTTCTACTCTTTCTTTTAGAAGAAATAAATCAAATTTATGCTTGAAAAACCTTAAAAAAAAAAAAAAAAAAAAAAAAAAAAAAGTAGTAAAATCTATTAAAATTTATGTAATTGTGTAATAATTTTATTATATATATATATATATATATATATGAATGCATTAATTTTATTAATCTCCTTTTGCTTTTCTAAATTTTATCATAGTTTATAAAATTACTCTTTAAAATTATTAATTTTATTTATTTTATTAATTTTATTAATTTTAATAATTTACCAATATATAATAGAAGTCAACAATGTTAGTGATTTTCCTGATCCTGTTTTCATTTCACAAATAATATGCTCATAACTATTATTATCTTCTTCTAAATTTTCATTAGTATATTCATTTTTTGTTATTGTATTATTATCATCATACATATTTACATTTATATTTTTTTCATCCTTTAACATAATTTGTAATTTTTCACTTTGTTTAATAATATCATATACTAATTTCACATTTTCATTTATTTTAATATTCGAATTTTTTAAAATTTCATAAAAAATTCTCATAAAGTTTAATTGTATCTAATATTAGAAAATTTTAGGTAAAAAAAAAAAAAAAAAAGAATATATATAAATATATATATATATATAATAGATAAAAGAGAATCTATATAACTGTGTGTGTAATTATGCACTCTATATACAACTTAAATTTATATAAAATTTTACTTTTATTAATTTTGTTAAATAGTACTTTTAAATATATTTTTCATTTCATATATTTTTATTTTATACTTTGTATGGATCAAAAGGAAAAAAATTACAAATTTCATCATTAAATACGTCAAACATTTTAAATACATAATTAAACTAAAAGTTAAAAGAAATTTTTTATAAACTTAACAGTTTTTGAAAAACACATTAAAGTAAAAATATATAGAATTCTGTTTATGATTTATAAATTATTTTATGATTTTATATATTTTTTTATAAACATTTTGAAGAATTTTTTTTTTTAAAAAGAATACACCTATGAATATTAAAAATAAAAAAAATTAAATAAAACTAGTATATATTCTTATTCTTTATATTAATGTACAATAATTTTTTTTTTGACTAATTTTGATATTCCAAAAAAATCATTTGTTTATACTTTTTGAATAGTTCAATACGTTATATCTTAATTCGTTCTCGTATATATTTTATTCTTTGTATCTGCACTACATAAAAAAAAAAAAAAAAAAAAAAAAAAAAAAGAAAGAAAAACATCTTTACAAAATTAAAATGAAAATTATATTGTGAAAATATGTAAAAATATTAGAGAACAAAAGAAAAAAGATGAATGAATATTTAAAATATACTACTTGTTTTTATGTTTTTGATTTATATTTGTGTGAAGAACCTATAAATTTGATAAGAAACTTAGATTTTACACAGAATGATGATATTATCATAATAAGGTATAATTATATATGTATAATTTTTTTTTACTTTTATTATAATTTTTTTTTAAAATATATTATAATATTTTATTTCTTCTTTATCAATGTATAAATATTTTTTTAGAAACCTTTTTTATTATTTTTTGTTCATTAAAAATAACTCGAAACTTTTTTCCATTTTTTTTTTTTTAGTTTAAAAAATATATTTAAAAGAGAATTGATAAATATAATTAAAACACATATAGAGAAATATTTTAGCATAAAAAATTATTATAAATTTTTAAATATAAATTACACATTTCAGAAAAATGCCTTTCTTATTTTGGTGAAACAAACAATATATAATGATGTCGAAAATATTTACTACAAACACATAAGAATTTACACAAAAAAAAAATATGGAAAAACATATAAAGAAGTTATACGTTATTATTTTAATGAGTATTTAGAAGATAAATTAAATAAAAAAGAAATATTAGAAAATGAACAAAATAATAGTAACAAAAATAATTACGAAACAATTTTATATAAAAATATGATACAACATAAAATCAATAATATGACTTATAATAATTTTATAAATAAATATTTTAAAATAGATAAAAATAATAAACGTTTAAGTAATTCATTTTTAAGTAAATATGAAGAAAAAAAAAAAAAAAAAAATGAAAATGAATATGAAAAAAATTCTTATTGTAGTAGTGATCCTAATAGAAAAGGAAAAAGTATAATCAAAAATATTAGAATATCCAGTAATTATTCAATTGATAAAAGAAAAAAAATATTTATAAAAGAAGAAATAAAAGAAGATATTAAAAGAAAGACAGAATATGATGATAATTTACTAATTTGCTTAACCTTTAAAATTAAGAATGTTAGCTTTTGTATAGCTTTTTCTAACTTTACCTTTTATGAATATTTAGAAAAATTAGATTATTATAAATATATATTTTATGATTATAACAAAAATAATAATAAAAAAGATACTGTTAATTTTAATTATATGAACTTTTATATAAAAAATTATTATATGTATTGTAAACAAATTTATAATTATTTTATTAATAATATTATTTTTGAAACAAAAAATGAAGATTTATATTTATTTAATATTGATGTTATAATTTTTTTGGGTTTTGATAATTTTATTTTATTTAATTATCAAAAAGAAAATATTTTAAATAATAATTCATTTTTCTTTGATCAAAATATTGTTATTTTAAATAAAAATAAAAAAAATTTTTTACAAAAAAAGATATATTCTACCTTAACTAAAGAAAAAGGAAGAAAATTAACACATGTTGGATATAAAGTGCTTTGCGATTTATTTATGCAAATTGAAGTAGATATAATTGACAATTTTTTTTATAAGCATTTTCATGAAATTAAACAAAAAAATAAGAATATAATTATTTCTTTAAATCCAAAGGTGATCGATTTTAATTTGATTCACACATATCAAATATATCAAGCAAATTTTGAAATATCTTATGATTATAAAGGTAATAGTGATAATGAAAGTTTCATAATTAATGATAACATAACTATAAATAATAGCTATTATAAATATAACGAACATATGCACAAAAATAATAATGAGAAAAACTATGAATATAGAAAAGAATTGAGAAATGAAGATGTAGAGTATAAAAATGAAAAAAAAAAAAAAAAAAAAAAAAATTACTTACTAAATATTTTAGATGTAAGTTCTTCAAAAAGAAAGATTTCTCAAAAAAAAAAAAATGAAAAAAGTATTCATAATGAAAACTATATATATGATGAAAAATATTTTTATCATAAAAAGAATAATTCTGAAGAATTTTGTTCCTATAATATAAGTGATGAAAATAACATGATAAAATTTCAAGAAAAATATAATTATATTTTTCCAAAAAAAAGTAATGTTTTTTATATAAATGACGAAATTTACTTAAATGATAAGAATGAAATTAATGAAGATAAAATATATTTTTCTATTTTGTGTTTAGATACAAAAAGTAATTCTACTATTCCAGTAAATTTATATTCATATTTGCACTTAAAAAAAAATTCTATTTTTAAATATCTTGAAGAAAATATTCGTTTCAAAAAAGAAGGAATAAAAAAAATATCAAAAAGTAAAAACTCCTTAATTAATGAGAATAATTTTGATATGATAAGATATACATATATATATCCATATAAAGGAGTTATAAAAAAGAATTCTAAAAAGAAAATTCAATTAAATTTATACGTTGAACAAATTTTAAATTCAGAAATACTCAATGATTCTTTTGTTTTAATTATTAGAATTCACAATTTCGTGAAAGACATGTTTTTGACAATTAAGTTTTCTCTTAAAAATAATATAGTTAATTCTTTGCTTCATAGTAATATCACAAATGTATATAATTCTAATAACATTTTAAATAATATTAATGATAATTTAATTGATATTAATAATAATTTAAATTTAAATAAAAATAAAAGTTTTAAAAGTAATACAAATATAAGTTTACAAAACCTTAACCGCAATTCAGATAAAAAAAAAAAATATAACATAAAGAATATAATAAATGGTAGTAACTCAAACAATATAAAAATAGTTTCGTTTTTATCTGCTAATTTCGCAAAATTTATTTTCTCTTTATTCTTTACATTGGATGACTATGAAAAAGATTTGTTGAATAGCAAAGATGAGATGATAGATGATATTTTTTATTTTTTCAGATTAACAAATTTAAATAATTATCATCTTCTATATTCATTTAATCCTATTCTTACGAATCTACATATGAATAAAAGAATTGATTTTACTTACTTTTTGAAAAGAAGTTTCTATATAAAATATAATGATAAGAAAACATTATGTAGTACATTTTTTATCGATAATAAAATACATAAAAATATAAGGAAGAAAGATTCTGGATTACCATACGAAATAAATTACTTAATTGAAAAAATAAAAGATAATGAAAAGATTGAAAAAAAAATAACATTAGAATCATTTTTGTTGTTATGTGAACAATTATTTTATATTTTAAATAAAAATATGATTTATTGTAGCTTTCTTGATACTATAAAAAATATTTACAATTATAAAATTAGTAAAAATAAAAAAATGTGTTTAATCTTTTACACAATTTTAAAAAATTGTTCTCTATTTTATAAAAATATTTTTTTAGTTTTTATTTCTTTTTTAAAAAAATTATTTACTTATTTCATAAAATTATCTATTCACAATTTTCATGTGTTAGTTTTAAAAAAAACTAATGATGTTCATATGAATTTATTAAAAAAAAAAAAAAAACATTATTTTCGTTTATTTCTTGATGCTTTTAATTTTTTTCATATTTCTTTTTTAAGTTATGTATCAACATTTTTTTTTAGCTTTTTAGACATTCAAATAGCCTTAGATTTAATACATTACTTACTTTTTTATTTATAACCAAATTTTAATTTAATTTTATCTTATTTTCATTTTTTTTAGTTTATCTACAATTCTTTTTTTCTCATTTTTATTTTATTATTATTTATTTTATTATTTAATTTAATTTAATTTAATTTTTTTTTTTTTTTTTTTTTTTGTATATATTTGAAATTCCTTGTTTTACTTATAAAAATGGGTATAAAACATATATATCTATTTTTTTTTATACATATTTATATTTATACAACATTACTTTTTTATAACTCATATTTATTAATAGAATTTTAATATATTTTAAATTAATAGTATTATAATAACATTTATACAAATTTACTAATATAGGAACGTATTTTACTATTAAATGTAATAATATATTTCTTTCTTTTTTTTTTTTTTTTTTTTTATATTAAACATATATCTATATTTTGTTTTTAAATAAAGAACAGAAGAGTTACTAAAAGAAGAAATAATGACATATATAAACAAAAAATTTTTTAAATTTAAATATGTTGATCAAGAATTTTCTTTTTTACATTTCTTTTCTTTCTTAAAATGACAGAGAAATATAAGCATATTTTAACTTCTTCATTTTTATGATTAATAATAGAAATAAAGAAAACAATAACTATTTAATTAAAACTAGTTTTTAGACACATAAAATTAATGATAACAAATACATATATCAAAAATTTCATTTTTTTTTTTTTAAAAAAAAATAACTAAATCTATATATTTTTTCATTGATATTTTAATTTATATTTTACTTTTTACTTCAATAAAACATAGTTTACCTTTAAACCAATGCTACTCAAAATTCAATTTATAATTAATCTTATATTTTTTGGTAATTTATGTATCATAATTTGTCTAAAAAGTAAATTCTCAAAAATCAATAGTAATAATATCAGAAATAATTTTTTAGTGTGCATTTAACTATTATATGTTTCCTAAAACAACAATGTCTGTATTTACATGTTTTTATAATATTTTCAAAAAAATTTAAGAAAATAATAGATTAATAGTATGATTATAGCTAAAATAATTATAGTTTTAAGTATAATAATATCTCATTATTTTTATGAAAATGAAAAATAATAAATATAAATTTTTTTTTTTTTTTCCTTTAGAATATTTTAATTATTTTTTCTTTTTATTTTTTATACATGTCCTTCTTTAGTGAAATTTACGTTTGCTATAAACTTCTCTATCTGAATATTTCCTTCTGAATATTTTTTATATAATTTTAAAAATAAAAATTTTATTATTTTAATTTTTCATTAAGATTAGCAATAATTTTCCTTTTTCTTAATATGTAAATATATATATAAATTTTCAATTAAATTTTACTGTGTTTCTAATATTCCTATTTAGTATAATGATTATTTTGAATTAATACTAGAAGAACAAAAAATGTATTTCTTTAAAAAAAATTAATTTTATAATTTTACAATTCTTTACAATCAATTTATTGTACAAAGTATAAAACAAATAAGAATATACTTATTTTTTTTTTTTACTTTGTGTACATAAATATATTTTAAAAAGTATATTCAATAATGCTAATATATATGTTAATGATAATTAATATTTTTTAATATATTTTTTTTTTTTTTTTCTAAATGAGTTTTTCTTTTTTTATATAAATATATTTTTTTTAATTTTTATAAAAATATACATATATAAATATATTTTATTCCTTCAGTTTTTTGAAAGTATGAAAATATTATTGTAAAATTATATCAATTATTTTTATATTCCCATTTTTTAAAATTTTATATTGTGTTAATTATTAAATGTTTTTAATAAAAAAAAAAAAAATATTTGTAGTCATCTAAATAGTCTTAAAAATATATAAAATAAAAAGAATAAAATTATTTGGCTAGATTAAAAAAAAAATAAAATAAACGTTTTATATATATATATATATTATATATATATATTTTATATCATTAAACTATTTTATTTATTTATTTTTCTTTTTTATTATTTTTTCTTTCTTTTCCTCTTTTTTGCATTTTATTTATTTTTTTTTTTTTAATCTTTTATTTTTTATCCTTATTTATTTCTCTAATCTTGTTTAACATTTTTATTTAATTAAAATGGTTGATTCTTCTAATAATGTACCATATACTGAAAATTCAAATAAAATAGCATTATACGCTTTGTTAATTTATAAATATGATATATCACAACCAATTTTTTTATCAGCTTCATTTGATTTATCGTCATTTCCTTTTTTTCATAGATCTTCTTTGAAAGAACATATATATTTTCATTCTAGATTAGTATGCAGTAGAACTCCTAGAGGAAACAGAGAAGTTATAGAATTAGAATCAGGTATTGGGCATTTACATATTTACACAAATAGTGAAAATAATATAAGTGTGTTAGTACTTTCTACACCATCCTATCCATTAAGAATTGCCTTTGGGTTAATAGATAATACACAAAAATTATTTATAGAAAAATGTAAAGGGCAATATGAAAATATTACACAAGATTTAAAAGAAGGAGTATTATTTAATAATGAATTAAATGAATTATTAAAAAAATATCAAAATCCGTCTGAAGCAGACAAATTATCAAAAGTACAAAAAGATCTTGATGAAGTTAAAGATGTTATGTTAAAAAACATTGAAGACCTTTTACAAAGAGGAGAGAAATTAGATGATTTAATGAAAAAAAGTCAAGATCTTTCGAATTCATCCTATCAATTTTACAGGTATTTTTTTTTTTTTTTTCATTTAAATATAAGAAAAGTAATTTATTTTTCTTTGTAAAATTATATATATAAATATATATATATTTACATTTTTTTTTTTAGACAAGCTAAGAAAAATAATCAATGTTGTAAGTTATATTGAATTGTAACATTATAAAACAGGAAAAAGAAGTTTTATGCATAAATATATTATCCTTTTAGTTTTAATGCCTGTTAGAACATTGATATTTAAATGTAATTTAAAATTCCTTATTCATAAAATACTCTGTTCATATATATATATATTATATATTTTTTTTTTAATATTTATATAAATGTTCTTTTGTTTAATTTTTTATATTACAATTTAAATTTCTCCCTTTTTTTTTTTATTTCTATTAAATTTATATATAATGATAATTAAAGCATAAATATTTTTATATTTCACAAAAAAAAAAAAAAATTATTTATTCTATTATAAGAAATATTTATGAACGATTAAAAATTTTATGTTTGTTCAGCATTTTCATAAAAAAAAAAAAAAAAAATACCTTAAAAGATATATGAATATATTGGAATTGAGAAATATTAAACCACTTTTTTATAGTAAATATTTTTATATGTACAAGGAATAAAAATATGTATATATTCATACACATTATTCAATTGTTTTTTTTTTTTTTTTTTTTTTTTTTTTTTATTATTCTTTTATTTTATATTTTATTTTTTTTTTTTTTTTTTGTTACATTAAATTTAGTTGAAGCATATTAATTATACATGATGTTAATTATGTTTCTGGTTTTGCTCTTCATACATTGTCATAACAATAGCTTTTTTATAATTTTATGAATTTTATTTAGAAACTTTTTTTTATTAATGTTTTTACAAAATTATTTTTTAAACAGAAGAAACAATAATTAATTTTTAATAGTGTATTTTATTGTAAACTTAAAATTATGTCATATTTTTGTATCCTATTTTCTGTTCTTTTTAATTCATTTGTATATATCATATAATTGTTCCATTTTACTTGAAAAATTAATTTATTTAAATATATTATTATTTCCTTTTTCTTTTTTTTATTTAACATTTTCAATTAAAATTAAATCAGTGATGGCTCGTTCATACAAACAGAATCTTGAATATCTAATTAAAAGAAACAAAATAAAAAATTATAATTTTTATGTTTTAAAAATTACAAACATTTTTATAGAATTTTATTTCTTATTTAGTTTACCTGAATAAATATCAAATGTGTTTAAAACTTCATCAAACATAAAAAAAGTCCCAACAATTAACAAAATAGAATTATCTTTACAACATTCTAGGAAGGCATTCTTTACAATTAACGGAATAGTTCCTTTAAAAAAAAAAAAAAAAAAAAAAAAAAAATTAAAAATAATATAGACAAATATATATATATTTATATATAAATGTTTAATAAAATAATATATACCCCTTTTATATAATTTATCAAAATTTTCTGCACCATCAATATTTTCCTTATTATTACATTGTAACCATCGTCTTACTTTCTCAGAACTATCTAAAATTAATTGTTTTAATTTATTATCTATTTGATCATCATTATTTATCATATCAGTAATCTCTTCAAAGTCATATGTCCGTTGATTTATTGATGGTAAATAAAATACATCCTATTATTAAAAACAGAAAGTTCATTTTTTAAAAAAAAAAATTGTATATTCATAATGTATTTCATGATAATAAGATTAAATATATAAAAGAAAAAGATTTTTATATTTATAAAAATTGTATATTTACAAATAATAAAAACATGAAATTTATTAGAAAATACATTTATAAAAAGAAGATAGTTGCAATAAAAATTTTTAAATGTCATTTAAATTATTTTATATGAACTTTATACCTTTAGTGTATCAGGAAAATGAGCAATAAAAGGGTGAAATATATTTAAATTTCTTGGTTTAGTTAAGGATATACATATTCTTATTAGTTTACCTTTATGAAAATAGTTGATATCCGTACACAATCTATCAATAGCTGTTTCATTGTGGCCAACATCTAATATAACTGCACAAGGGTATAAAGAAAAATTATTATCTAAATTATTTGAAGTATATTTTTTTTTTACATGATGAATTTGTTCTTGTGCTAAATATTGTAATCTTAAAGGTGGTTTGATATAAATAACAGATTTTAAAAAGTTGTCTACATTTATATTTAAAATTTTTAACGCTTCTAGAGCTATTCTAGAATTTTCTTCATTATATGTTTCTCCTCTAGGTTCTGGTGAGACTAATGTTATTCTGCAATTTAATTCCTTTGCTTTTTCAAAAACATTTTTATATATAGAAACTGATGGTCCTATAATAACATTTGTGTCTTTTTTAAATATACCAATTTTTTCATTGCATATTAGATTTAGTTCATTTCCCAATATATGAGAATGATCATAACCAATAGAAGTAATCACAATTAGTTCCGGTTTACTTAAAATGTTTGTAGCATCTAATCTTCCTCCCAATCCAGTTTCAATTATAGCATAATCAACTTCTTTATTTAAAAAATGCAAATATGCAACCATTGTTATAATTTCAAAAAATGATGGTTTTATATCAATTTTTTTAATTTTATTTATTACTTTATTTACTAGAAAAATTAAATCTTCTTCATTTATTAATTCATCATCTACAATTATTCTTTCTCTTAATGAAAATATATGAGGAGAAGAAAATAAGCCTACTTTATATTTTTTTAATTTTAGACAAGAGTATATTTTATAGCATACTGATCCTTTTCCATTAGTACCAGCAATATGGATTGTTTTATATTTATCACAAGGATTATCAAAAGATTCACTCAGTTTTTTTGAATTATCAAGCCCTAATTTTATAGAATGCGTCTTATATAATTTATCTAAACATTCAGAATAAGTTTTTATCTGTTCTTCCATATTTTAAAAAATGAAATAAGAAAAGTTTAAAAATTTTTATGAATTAATAGGTAGCAACAAAAAAAAAAAAAAAAAAAAAAAAAAAAAAAAAAAAAAATCAAATGTTATAAGAATTATTTTAAAATTAATTTTAAACATATATAGCAATATATATATATATATTTTCTTTTTTTTTTTTTTTTTTTACTTATATATAATATTATCCTTTTTTTTTTTTTTTTTTCGTAAACAATTACAATTTTAAAAATAATTAGTTAATTAAAACATAATTTAATTTTAAATCTCAAATCATTAATAAATATTCTCATAAGAAAATTTAATTTTTATACTTTTTATGAGAATATATAAACAATAGAAGGCAAAAAAATTAAATATAAAAAGAGAAACATCTATTCAAAAAAAATTAGGAAACAAATATTTTAACATAAGAAAGTTTTCTTATTAAAAAATTTATAAAAAGTTAAATAGTAGTTTTAAGTCTTTTTTCTGTTTCCCCTTTTCTTTATCATAACTATGAAAAATTAAAGAAATATGGTGCTTTTAATAAAGTGCATCGGTTTTGTATTTTTATAATAACCTATATTTTAAGGCACTATTATGATTTTATTATACCTACAAAAAAAAAAAAAATTTATATATATGCAAATATTTATATATATATATATATATTTTTTTTTTATCAATTGTAATATCGAAATACTGTAAACAAAAAAAAATACTAAATTTTCTACTAAAATTATTTATTCTATTTCATTATTACACACAAAAAAAAAAAAAAAAAAAAAAACTATTTTCGATTATGATAATTCATATATAAATATATATAATTTTAAAAAGAAAAGAATAAAGAGTTAGTTTGCTATATATTATTAAAAACAAATATATATTTATATGAGTAAAATAGAGACAAATATTTATAATTTGAGATGAGAGATGATAATTGTTTATGAATATGAATAAAAGTTAATAAAATAATAAAAATTTTTGAATATTTTTTTTTTTTTTTTTTTTTTTTAATATATATACTTTTAATTGTAATACTAATTATACATTCATTATTTTATTAAAATACTTCTATAAATTATTGTATCGTAATTCTTCAAAGATTAAAATTTACTTATTTTTATATTTATAAATAATATAATATTGGAACTATTTTTTTTAAGAAAAACTCATGCATGCAGACAATTGGTGAATAAGGAATATAAAACACATGTAGTATTTGGATTATATATTTTTATATTTAGTAAATCATTTAATTTAATAAAAATTAAATTTAAAATTAAAAATATATTGATAATTTTAAGATATTTATATACATATTCACTATAAAAACAATTTTATAAAAAGTTTTAAATAGTAAAGTTTCTAATTTTTTTTTTTACATATATATATATATTTATATATAATTATTTTTTAATATTAACACATTTAAAATATTTTTTTTTTTTTTTAAGCACTTTTTATTGAATAAATAAAAAAAAAAAAAAATACTATCATTTTATATACATATATATTTTTGTGTATATTAATATAAATTTTATCCCTATTAATAATCTTTTAAATCTTTGAAACTTTTTTTTTTTTCTTTTTTATAAATTTAAAAATTTTTTAAAGAACATTTTTTTAAAATGGCACCAAAACCAAAATTTGTGTTAGTAGGTTCTGGTATGATAGGAGGAGTTATGGCTACATTAATTGTTCAAAAGAACTTGGGAGATGTTGTTCTTTTTGATATTGTGAAAAATATGCCTCAAGGAAAAGCATTAGACACTTCACATACAAATGTCATGGCATACTCAAATTGCAAAGTTACAGGATCAAATTCTTATGATGATTTAAAAGGTGCTGATGTAGTAATTGTTACAGCTGGATTTACAAAAGCACCTGGAAAAAGTGATAAAGAGTGGAATAGAGATGATTTATTACCTTTAAATAATAAAATTATGATTGAAATAGGTGGTCACATTAAAAAAAATTGCCCTAATGCATTTATTATCGTTGTTACAAATCCAGTTGATGTGATGGTTCAATTATTATATCAACATTCAGGAGTACCAAAGAATAAAATTATAGGATTAGGGGGTGTATTAGATACATCAAGATTAAAGTATTATATATCTCAAAAATTAAACGTTTGCCCAAGAGATGTAAATGCTCTTATTGTTGGTGCTCATGGAAATAAAATGGTTCCTCTATTAAGATATATAACTGTTGGTGGTGTTCCATTACAAGAATTTATTGATAATAAAAAAATAAGTAAAGAGGAAATTGATACAATATTCGATAGAACTATTAACACAGCTTTAGAAATTGTTAACTTGTATGCTTCTCCATTTGTTGCTCCAGCTGCTGCAATTATTGAAATGGCGGAATCTTATGTCCGTGATTTGAAGAAAGTTTTAGTTTGTTCTACTTTATTAGAAGGACAATATGGTCATACTGATATTTTTGGTGGTACTCCTATCGTATTAGGAGCAAACGGTGTTGAACAAGTTATTGAATTACAATTAACCAAAGATGAAAAAAAGAAATTTGATGAGGCTATTGCTGAAACGAGAAGAATGAAAGCTTTAGCTTAAAAATGATTTCTTTTTATTTCTGAAAAAAACAAGAAAATAAAAATTTTTTTTTTTTTCTTATTTTTTTTTCATTTATATCATATTATTATTTTTTTTTTAAATTTCAGTGAATATTCTTAAATAAATATATTTTTAAAGAAAAGTGTGTGTACTAAAACATATTCTTTTTTGCTATCGTTATAATCAAAATTTTCAGTAAATACAACTGTAAAACATTTAAAATTTAAATGAAAAATAGAATAATTTCTCTCTTTATACGTTAATTCAAAATTAAAGTCTTCTTATTATGTGTCTTTTTCTTTTTTTTTAAATATTTAAAAATAATTTAAGAAGCTTATACACTTACTATGTACGAACAATAATAGAAAAAAATATATAAGTGTATTCATTTATATTATCAATTTTTTTTTTTTTTTTTTTTTTTCATTACAAAATTTGTAATTAAAATTATTAAAATAGTTTTTATCTTGTTTTTTAATACATCATATTGTGTACTTTTATATTTAATTATTAATTAAAACGAATCAAAAATTTTTTTTTTGTTTTCTTTTTCAATGTCTACTTGTTTAATAAAGCTTCTTTTCTTAAAAAAATATTTATTAAAGTAGTTATTTTGATTGCTTAGTATTTATTATAGTATAATAGAACACGTTAAAAAAAAATTCTAACATACACAAAAATATGTTTAAAATTAAAAAAAAAAAAAAAAAGGAAAAGAAAATGAAAAAAAATAAAATAAAAATAATAAAAAAGAAAAAAATCTACTATTCATCTTCAATTGCTCTTATATAAAATACATTATTACCTCTAATAAAAGCATCATTATATTTTTCAATTAATTCTCCTTCAAAATATTCTTCTGTTTGTTCCAGTGCAACATTCATACGTTCATCTAAGCAGGCTAAAATTCCTTTGTAATCTGTACCATTATTTAACCTAACTATTACTGTATGACCTTTTAAATTTTCTACAAAATCTTTTGGTGAATTAGATGTCATAGTAAGAAATTTTATTTTAACTTGTCTTTTTATTTCAAGATTTATAAAAATATATATATATATATATATATATAATATTTTTAAATAGTTTTATATGAATCTTTGATTTATCGATATTTTTCTTATCAAGTTTTATTGATAATATTTAACTAAGAATACCATCTAAACTATATTTAGACGAATATTTTAATGTGATACTTTTATTATAAACAGATATATGGTAAAATTCGAATTTTACCCCTGATATAATAAAAGAAAACAAAAAATATTAACTTATAAAAAAATTTAGATGATTAAAAAATAATCTCAAATAATTTTAATAAAATTTTATTTTTCATAAAATTTCATAAAAAATAAATTAAAAAAAAAAAATAAATTATAAATTTTTATTTTCTAAAAAATTACTAGAAAATACATATTTCAATTAATTTCAAATATTTTTATATAAATGATTTCAGCAATTAAATAATGTTTTACTTATTCATAGAAAATTAAAAAAATATTAACTATATATTTAAGAAATGTAGATGAATTCTTGCATTTTATATATGCTAAATATTAAAATAGATAATTTAAATAAATATTAATGAAAGTTACAATGTTTTTTAAAAAAAAAAAAAAAATACTATTGCACATATATAAATATATGTATATATATTTTTTTTTTTTTTTTTTCTATATTTAAGTATAATACATATCGTATTAAAATATTGAAATATTAAAGATTTAAATTATAGAGGATTAAAAGAAATTAATATTTAAGAAGTAAAATTAAACTTTTTTCGAAATTACAAAAAATTTATATAAAACCAATATTAAAATTATAACAATTTACACAATATAAAGTAAATTATTCTATTTATTTTATCTTTCCTATGATTTTTTTTATTTCTTTTAAATCTACCTTTATAAAAATTTTTATCAATTAATTTAAAACAATAAAAAGTAAAAAATATGTTTTTATTTATTAATTATACACTGTAACTTTTTGAAGAAGGCAATAAGAATTAAATAATTATAAATAAATATACAAAACTGTAAAAAAAAAAAAATATCAAGCAATATTTTTTTATTTTACAATTAAAAATTATTTATTCATCTATATCTATATGCGTATAAACTAATTTTTATACTATCTTAATTTTTTTTTTTTTTTTTTTTTTCTTCATTTTAAAATGATATTTTAAAAATTCACACATATAAAAAATTAATATTTAAAAAAAAAAAAAAAAAAAATTGAAATAGGTCAATAAATATTTCTATATGAAAATAAAAATTTATATATATAAATATGTATAAATAATTTTAAAAAATTGAGACTTACATATATATATATATATATATATATATATCAATAAAAGCACAATTTTGAAAATATAATTATAAAATTTCATATCTTAAAAATAAATTAAAAGCAAGACATTTTTTTATTAACCTTTAATATTAAAAAGATCATTTAATGATTCTTTTTGATGAATTCTTCTAATAGCATCAGCAACAAGAACTGAAACACTTAATTTGGTAATTTTTTTACAACTATCAATATTTTTGTTTGATTTAACTGTATCTGTAACAACAACTTCTTCAAGGGGAGAATTTTCAATTCTTTCAATGGCAGGACCTGAAAATAATCCATGAGTAGCAAAAGCAAAAACTCTTCTAGCTCCATGTTTTTTTAATTGTTTTGCTGCTTCGCATAATGTACCAGATGTATCAATCATATCATCAACAATAATAACATCAGAGTCATATACATTTCCAACCAAATCCATTTTTTCTATTTCATTTGGTTTTGTTCTTTGTTTTATTAACATCGCTATACCACAGTCACTTATACCTCTATGATTTAAACCATCTTGAAATTTTCTAGCTCTATAAACCCCACCTGCATCAGGAGATACTATAACAGGTTTATATAAATCTTTTTTTGTAAAATAATCTAAACCAATTAATTGTGCCTCTAAATTATCAACTGGAACTCTTGGACCAAAAAATCCTTGAATTTGTCCTGAATGCAAATCAATAGCTACCACTCTATCAACTCCCATAGCTTCTATCATTCTTGCTACATCAGCTGCAGATATTGGTACTCTTGAGCTTAATTTTCTATCCTGTCTTGCATATCCATAATATGGAATAACAGCTGTAATTTTTTTTGCTGATGCTCTTCTACATGTTGATATCATTAATAATAATTCAATTAAATTCTCATTTACTGGTGGGCATGTTGGCTGTATAATGTAAACATCCTTTCCTCTTATACTATCTAAAAATTGCATTGATACTTCTCCATCTGCAAATCTTTTTAAATTTACTTTTCCTAATATAGTTCCTAAATGATCTGCTATGTTTTGACTTAATACAGGATTAGATGTTCCACTAAATAATATCGCATTTTCCATCTTCTTTTCAAAAGGTCTTTTCTCTTCTGATCTCCATAGAGGGTGATAATGATTATTTGCATTATCACAAAAAGCAGTATTTTCTATCAAAATAGATCTTTTATCATAAAGAAGCTCATTTATATTTTTTTTTACGTCCTTACAACATTGTCGAAATTTTTTTCTATTTGCTTCATTACTTAAAAAATAACATCCAATTCCACTACTTACTAATAGCGTCAATTTAATACCATAGTTTTCTTTATTAAAAAATTTATTTTTCTTAAAAAAATTTATCCTACATTTTTTAAATAATAAAGAATTCATTTTATCAATTCAATTAAAAAAAAAAAAAAAAAAATTCATAAAAAAAAAAAAAATAAATAAATAATTGAACTTGAAAAAGTTAATATAATTTATAAACGAACATTTGTTTTCTTTGGCTTATTTTATATATTTCATCCAACAGTGGAAGAAAAAAGAATGAAAATACAATAATTAAAAATTTATATTAATTTTTTTTTTTTTTTTTATATTTTCATGGAAACTTCAAAAATAATAAAAATTAAAAAATGAATTGATTAATATTTATATATATCCTTATTCTAACAAATGAAGTGTATATAAATAAATTTTAATTATAAAAAAAAAAAAAAAAAAAAAGAAAAAACAAGGTTAATACGTCATATATCTTTACAGAAAACTCATAATTAATTTCTATCTACAAATAAAGGAAATAAAATAATTAAAAAAAAAAAATAAAATATAAAGTATCTAATTTATTTTATTATTTAGAATTTTTTTTTTTTTTTTTTTTTTTTTGTTAAAGATATATTCAACATATACTTAGCTATCATAGCTCTGGTATAGATAATTTAAAAAACTATAAAAAACTTATATATATGATATAAAAAAAAAAAAAAAACTATGAAAATCTATAAATATAAATTTTTTTTAAAAATATTTTATCTTATTTTTTATTACTATATATATAAAATACAGTAAAAAATAAATTTAAGATTATTGAGAATTAAAAAGAGAAATATTTTTTTATAATATTATGTTTTAATGAAGTTTCCATGTTCTATAAAAAATTATCTTGTTTCTAATGTAGATTTATTCAGAATTTGTTTTAAAGATGAATATATTATAATGTAAAAATTTTTTATTTGTCCCATTTTTTAGATATATTTTTTCTTGAAAATTTTTACACATCTTTCATATAAATAATACATATAAAAACAAATTTTTCTTAATTATGCATAATAACTATATGATTAAATATGTAAACTAATAAAAAATAATTTTTTAAATAGTTATATATAATTAAAGGATAAAAAAAAAAAAAAATATTAATACTATAAAACAAAAGTAAATATTTTTTTATCCATATATAGAACATATATATGTATGTATAAATCACACACTTTTTTAATATATTATGTAAATTTTATTAATAATAATTTTCTATAAATAAATTTTTGGTAAAAATTAAAAATTATAGAAAATAATATTTTTTTTATCCCACTTATGCTATCATTAAAATGATTTTTATTTGCTATTTTGTGTTTTTCTGAAATTTTTATTTCTTTTTATTTTTATATCCATATTTACACCAAAAAAAAAAAAAAAAAAAAAAACTTAAAAGATTAAATATTTTAAAAATGAGGATTAATGTGATAAATAGAATTATTTTAAATTAAAAAATTAGTTCTTATCTTCAATCATATAGTTAAAATTTTTTTTTTTTTTTTATTACTTTTCTGGGATATAGGAGTACTATCATTTATGTGTAATTTTAATCATTAGAAAAAAGTTTTTTTTTTTTTTTTTTTAAAAGTTTCAATTTATGAAAAAGATAAAATAATTATATTATTATATAGAGAATATGTAAATGAATCTGTGTGGGAATTATATTTTTTTTTATTATTCTCTGAAGATTTTAAAACTTGTCTTTCTTTCCTATTATTATTTTTTTTTTTTTTTTTTATTAAAAAATTGCCAATGTATATAATTAAAACATTGTCATATAAAGGAATACTTAAATATTTGAAAAATAAATAAAAAAAAAAAAAAAAAAAAAATTAAAATAATACATATAAATATATGTATACATTATTAGTTTGGCTTTGTTTCTTCATCTACTACTGCTTCATGTTTGTAATTTTCAAATAAATAACTAATATGTTTAAGAGAATCATCAAAAAGTTCTTTTTCTTGTGCATTCAAATCAAGTTCAATTATTTTTTCTATACCTTTTCCTCCTATTACTACTGGAATACCAGCAAAAACTCCTTTGTGACCATATTGACCATTTAATAATACTGAACAAACAAGAACTCTTTTTAAGTCTTTCAAATAAGCTTCAATAATTTCAACAATAGCCAAAGAAGGAGCAAAACATGCTGATCCTTCAGGTAATAATTCTAGTAATTCTAAACCTGTATTTCTTGTCTTTTCAACTATTTGATTAATTTCTTTATCTGTTATAGCTCCTTTTTTTGTAAAGTCATTTAATGGTATACCATTTACACAACAATATCTAGGTAGAGGAACCATTTTATCTCCGTGTGCTCCTATTACAAATCCTTGAACATCACCTGGATTAATCTAAATTTTTATAAAAATATATATAAGTTTAATTATATTATAAATGTAAAAATTTATCTAATATTTATTTTATTTTCATTTTTATATTAAATAATTATTAATTTTTTTTAGAGTTATTTTATACTTACTCTCAATTTTTCGGCTAAATTATGTCTCAATCTTGCACTGTGCAAAACACCAGCCATACCGCAAATTTTATGAGATGGTATATTTGCATGTTCTTGTAAAACTTTTGCCATACAATCAACAGGACTTGTAGTAACTACAACAAAAGCTTGTGGGCAATGTTTTTTAATATATTTGGCTACATCCTTTAATAGTTTTACGTTGGATGTATATACTTGTTTTTCTATATCTTCTTCATCAAATTCTGCAAATTCACGTTCTGATACTTCTATTGTGACTACTACAACTAATGAATCTTTTATATCTGTTATTTCATTTGTTCCTAATATATTTATTCTAGATCTATTTAAAGGTCTTGTGTGTAAAATATCTAATGCTCTTCCTTTTGGCAAATCTAAAATAGTCCAAATTAAATTAAAGAAAAATATTTGTATACATGTTTACGTATTTCTTTTATATACTATTGATATAAAATATTTTCATATTTTTTTTTAAATTATATTTTAAAAAAAAAATTATGTATCCTTTCCTTAAAATATATAAGCATATATATTTATATATTATTGCAAATACATTTGTGTTTTTTTTTTTTTTTTTTTTTTTTTATAAGAAATCTTTCAAATAATAAAAAATTTTAAATGAAAAAAAAAAAAATAAAATAAAATAAAAATAATCAAATTTTTATCTTAAGATTAGGTAATACTTTTATATATAAAATAAATTAGAAATATTTATAAATCTAAGGTTCTTTTAAAACAAAATGAATACTAATATATATACATATATATACATTTATAAATAAGAACATTTCATGAATTTATATTCATTTATTTTTCCGTTATTCTAATTTAAATTTTAATTAAATTATTATTACCTTTTCTAAAATCATGTAAAACAACATCACCTAAATTTTTTTCGCAAATCATATGAGCTAAAGCACAACCTATATCTCCTGCACCTAAGACACTTATTTTAGGATGTTTAACTGAAGTCATTCTTAAATAATAATATATTAAATAATTTTACTTGTTTTTTCTCTTTTTTTTTTTTTTATAAATAATATTAAATTTACTAAATATTTCTCTTTTTTTTATTATTTTAACAATAATAAATATATATATATATATTTATATATATATATATATAATATTTCACAAAAAAAGATACATTTACAAAATTATATGAATTTTTGTTTATATTATATTTTAATTTTTTTTTTTTTTTTTTTTTTTATAATACGAAATAATAAATATTAACTTATTAATATGCATAAGAATTTTAATTGGTAATGTGAGAAATATTAAATGATAATAATATTAAGACATATATATTAACTATTTTTAATTATCTATTTTTTTAAATAAGAAAATATATACACATTATAATAAGAATAATCAACAAAAAATAATTCACATAATATTTAATTTTTATTTCATATGATGTACACATTTATAGAATCATTTTTTTTTTTTTTTTCACGGATACTCATAAAGTGCTAGAAACATCAAATTTTTATTTTTCCTCGGGGTTAGCTATAAAAATTTTAAAAAAAAAAAATAAAATAAAATAATAAACTAGCTTAAAAAAAAAAAAAAAAAAA